AAACTCGTGTCTGCGCGGGCGGGAGCGCCGGGGGGCCACTCGCTTCAGCGAGGGCCGAGTGTCACCCGCAGAGCCACCAGCCTTTATGCGGGTGCCAGCGGAGGGGACTTGCTGTGTGGGGCTGGATGGACGGGTGCTCTCTCCTGGGCCACCCAGATGTTCTTGCGGATGGAGGCACATCCCTCCCTGCCAGTACCAGGGCTCCCAAGACCTGGTGCCTGCTGGAGGCGGAGGAGAAGCAATAGCACTAGCGCACGTCCCAGGGGCAAGGAGCAGGCTCCAAACCTCCCTTGCAAGTGCCTCTGAGCTTTGCCTACCTCTCATGATGCAGTTGCATGGGCCAAAGATGCTTTCCAGAAGAGGGCACTGGAAAAGCATCTGTGGACAGGCAGCTGGGACCACATTCCTCATATTCCCCTTGCTTGCTCCTCCAGCAAGGCCCTGGCTGCTCTAATGGGAGAGGTCACTGGGGAACATTGCTCATAGTTGTCTCTTGTGGCAGCAGGAAACTCTCCTGTCTACGTCAGTCCAAGTCCTGCAGCCCCAGGGTCCTGCCTAGGGTCTTACGGCTCCCACCAAGCTCTGAACCCAGCAGAAACCCTGCTCCTCAGCAGGGTGAAACAGCAGCAACCAGCTGCTCTTCCCTGTGTGCCCGAGGCGGTGGCCCCGGGCCGCCAGCATGGACAGGACTCAGATCAGGCTCTGCTTTGGCCCCAGCCTTTGCATGGGCACATTTGCAAGTGAACACTCACAGAACCCATGCACGTGCAAGCAGAAATACCAGCGTGGGTCAGGGAAACCCAGTTCAATGCACTTAGCATACTGTAGATAACGATAACATTTATTTCCTTCCTTGCAGTTTTATAATGAAGGGCATTTTGGCCGCTGAACAGAGAAAACAGGTATAAATTGTTTCTGTCATTCAAAACAGGGTGATTAAAGGAAACAAAGTGTTTCCAGGATACATTTTTGCCACGTTTCTCTACACATTTTCAAGGGGGTAGAGCATATTTCTTGCCATTCAGTGCTACAAATGTGCATGTCCAGAGCAACAAACTAAAATAGCTTCTAGCCAGGCAGGAAGACTAACAGATCAAGTAACCAAAAATCTTCTGAAGTTACTGCAAACCTTTGCTTTACAGCTCAACTGCAGCAATATGTGCAGTTGTGTTTTCTAAATTGCTTTTCTTGGAAGAATCTTATCCCAATATGTTCAAAATGAGTCATTCACAGGCACATGCCATAAGGTGAGGCACATAAGTCTCTCATCACAGCAGCAATTTTGTGGCTCTGGGGCACGTTCAATCTTTCACATTTACACATCAAAGTTAAAAATAAATAAATAAATAAAAGTATTGTTAATTACACATATTTAAAAATAAAGAAATAACCCTGTGTACGACCTCGGCATTCACTAGACGTACACCAAATTTTATAAGACTTGGCTCGAGTGCTCTGTTATATTTAATGTATGGATTCTATATGTGACATATATAATGGTATAATGGACTTTTGTGTTTGTAGCCTAACATTAGATTCTTTATCTAATCTTACCCTCACTGAAAACCATGTCAAAACTCTCCATGAGTCAAGAAGCATGAGAACAGGTCTAGGACAGTCATGAGAAGTAGCTTGAAAAGCCTGTACTGGAATCACTGGAGAAAAGTGTGGAAACAACAGATTTTTGTTGCATGCAGGACCAGCAAAGTGTTACTTGTATCAGAAAATGAGGAAGTGATGACCAGTTTTTGCAGCACGCCTCTGCAGTGTTCAAATCTTAGACCACATCTCTCTAGGAGATACAAGGGCCCACCAACAGGCTTCATTGGGACCAAGGGGATTTGCTAAGCCCATGTTGCTATTGCACAAAATTCTTAGTCAGCTCCTGAGCATGCAGCATGCAAGGCCTTGATTTCCTTCAAAATCTGTCTCTGAGCTTTTGGAAATTTTCAACTAGGTAAGGAATCATTCAGTGCTTCTGAGCATATCTGGATGTCTCACTGAATGATGACCAGGTGCTTTCTTGCTGAATCGGACCCTGTATTCATCTTGCCTGACACATGCTGTGATGGTCATTCAGAGAGGAACATGCTGCTCAATGGTGGAGAGTGACATTAGGGT